ATATACTCTTCCAAAAAAGAAACGCAAAGCCAGATGTGTGTGAGGTATTTATACGAGGAACCGTACAAGGTATTGAGCCAAAATGTTGTGGAGAGAACGCTTGGTGATTGTAGTCATCTCTGTTATCGGTGCGTAGGAAAAAGTCCAAGGCGAAGGCCAGCTACCATCAATAACGCGTAATTCCCCTGCCTGCGAGCAGCCTATGATGTTGTTTCTTTGCACTTCTGTTAATATCGGGATGTTGTTTGAACCGCCACTGTTTGATTGACGCAGAACCCAGGCAATCACAAACCCTGCACTTTAATCCCTTTTATAATGCCGATGCACGTGCAGCTCCATGGCCCTTTTGTTGATGCCCTGGGTGCGTTTTTCCGAATCGTACGTGTTTCCCGACTAATGGTTTGAATGTCCTTGTAATCATTTTGATCCGGGAAATTTGTCACTGATACTATAACACATTCAACTACTTCATTACGAACCTCATCGTCAGCTAAGTGTGGCGTCAAACAACAAACAAACAAAGAAAACAAATATTACCCGTCCAACTCAAAATTGACGCACGCTTCGCTGAAACGATCTCCTGGACAGCGATAGGCCCTTGCTGGACCAAACAAGACGTACCTGACGGTTATGTGGAAGCAAAACTGGGCATATCACTGGATGTTGTGCTCTCTTGTTGCCTACGGTTCTTCCACTAAATCGCCTGAAGCCAGGTATTGCCTATGCTGTTAATGTGGTAAATTTGTATTGCTTCTGCAGATGAACCAACCGAATATGCTTGTCTTGTTCATGATCAGGTGGTGACATATGTGGGCGAAAGGTCCGTGGCAAGTCATGAGTGTTGCTGTAGATAACGTCTCGGAAGAGATAATATTGTGTCACATTATATTTTACATAAAGGGGATACTGTCATATAGAGGTGAGGTGAAATTGGGTTTAACGTCACGTCCAAGATTTTTGCACTTATATAGCGACGTGCATGTACGTGTCTGGGTGTGGCTGCTGGTGCTGGTCGGGACTGAAGCCGATTTATAGTGCTAGCCCACTGAGATACCATGCCATACCCCACACAGACACAGTATACTGACTCCGAGCCGACCAGTCCTTGTTGAGCCCTTAATGCCGAGCGCCAGGGTAAAAACAAGTACCATCTTTTAACGTCTTTTGGTATGACACGGCCGGCGATCGAACCCCGGACCTTCCGCCCTACCCCATTGATAGAGGAAAAGTAACAAATTTCTGGAATAGATTATTTCATACCTCTGTAAATGTTGAACCACGCCTAAGTGAACAATAAAATAATTAAACATGATATGACTGGTATCCATTCATTTCGTCCATATCGTTTCCTAGACAGCAAGGGGACACAAGTGAAGACTACATGCGCCTTAAAGACCCGTGAAGTTCAGCAACCCATGCTTGCCGTAAAGGGCAACTATGCTTGTCGTAAGAAGTGACAAACGGATCGGGTGGTAAGGATTGCTGACTTGTTTGATGTATGTCATTGTTTCCCAATTGCACACGTGGGTGCCGTGAAGATCCGGGATAGAATAGGTCTTCAGCAACCCATGCTTGCCGTAAAAGGCCACTATGCTTGTCGTAAGAGGCGACTAACGGATCGGGTGGTCAGGCTCGCTGACTTGGTTGATGCATGTCATCGCATGTCATTTACTGGCTTGTCTGGTCGAGACACGACTATATACAGACAGCCGTCATAAACATGTATCTTAAACCTACAGGTAATGTGATGTTGTCCCATACTGAATTGTCTCGAGGAGACATTTTGGGACATCTCTATTAAACGGCAACACGAAAGTACGTCACATACCGAAAACACGATCTCAAATGTTGTACTGTCTATGCCTACTTTGTTGTTGTTAAAGGGGCAAAGTTAAAGTTGCGTCCCTTCGGCACGCCAGAAACCTATGATTGTGGGTTCGAATCCCGGTTCGCTCCGATTATGTTTCTAGGTTTGTCAGCACCATATCCGTGCTCGTTGGTTTCACCGAAGTGGTAAACGTCTGAAACCTGCATCACTTCGGGCTTTCATCCCACATTAAGCTGACACGCCGTGATATAACTGGAATAATGTTAAAAGCGGCGTACAACCCAACTCACTCACTCACTTGTTGTTAAATATAACGTTGTATTCATGAACAAACTGTATATGTATCAACTTGGTCTTGTCGTCGCTTTATGGCTGAAATATTAGGCTCAAACAAGGTCTGGTCAGCTCGGAGTCAGTATACTGTGTAAATGTGCAATAACCTTGGAGGCAAGGTTAAACCCAATTTCAATCACGTGTTTCAAAAGATAAAATCTATTCTAAGTAATTTGTACATATATACACATATTTGCGGTTTACCGTAACAGTGGGGATATTGGATTGAGTGAATTAAGAACATTTGATAAGAATGGAGAGAATGAGAGAGGAGAAGGAAGAAGAAGAAGAAGAAGAAGAAGAAGTACGCAGCTACTTCCAGACATTCCTTGACATCCATTAACTGTTACAATCTAAAACTACCATCAAACGAAAGAGTGAAAAGGAATCATGAATATATTTGAACTGATGCTTGCTCATGTAATTTTATCTGTTAAGCCCATGCCGACTGTATTAAAAACTAGTGTTTTAAGCGAGTGAGCAATTTGGTGTCCACCAACACAAGATAAGAGCCACGAGTGAGTGTGTGAGTAAGTATGGTTTTACACCTCCATTTGCAATATTCCATCAATATCACGACGGCGACGCCCGGGCCTTCGACAGGAGGAGCGAATTCTTTGACCAATTTGATACCCAACCTACCGTTAAGAAACATTTTTCTTACATTTAAGAAAAGGGAAAAGTTCTTAACCAATGATTAATATGAACACGTATTAAGAGGAAACCACATGTATTTGGGTTGATACTCACTACATATTTAATAATGGCTTTCAATAATGCAGTCCCCAGTGGTCGGGTGAAATAGACGCTTTGTAAACAAGAACTGATGCTTCTTGTAGGATTTACTTTTCTGCTCTACATTTCAAACTGTATTGCTCATATATACACTGTTAACAGAATTGATGTACTTATCTACTGTGACAAACTCTTTTGTACTTTAAGTACTGATACTTTCCAAAGCTTCATTGTTTATTTATGCACTGTAAACAATTCCATATAAAGTAATCGGTTGGGACAAACCCCTGTGGACAAGAAGTGATCTTTTTAGTATGATCTGCTCTATATTTTTACTATTGTTACTTTTATATACTCTGTTATCATCTGGTGCTCTATCATTACAATGGATACCGATTAATGAATAATGTATAATGGGCCGGTGGCCCCCTTACGAAATAAAGTCATTCATTCATTCGTTAAGAAACAAGTAACAGAAACAAAACGTTTACACTTTAGGTTTGTCTTCCTTTGCACTCCATTTCGTGGATATTTTAAATATCTCAAGATATACAGATGCAGAATTTGTTACGTCACTGTAGCACATCTCGAAATTAAGTCAACAGTTAAAAATGTCTACAAAAACATCCACTTCTCCTCAGGGGCTGACAGTTTGATATTAGGCAATGGAAACGGCCTGAGATTTATTAATCAAAACTTGGAGTTTAAATATAAATAGTTTTAAGAACACCTTGCAGCAATGGCATCATTTTTACAGACAAGTTCTTTATATTTCAGCTGCCTGAAGCATAACTGTTTTTTCAAGCATTTTCTGAAATAATAGTTTATGGTCAGATAGAAAAAAAATAAACTGTTATATATGGAACAAGCAATACCATTTCAACCAAATGCAGTAATGTATTAATCAATGTAGTATGTCATATTGTAAAACAATCAAACACACTGTTCAATTCACACAAGGTTTCAACTATATATGAGCCTAATACGCCTTACAACTGTGTTGACCTTCCATAGTTAGGTGCCTTTCTAAAACTAAAACTTCTATGTCCTCAGTTACATGTCCTTAGTTACATGTCCTTAGTTGCATATGTCCTTAGTTACATATGTCCTTAGTTATCGTCCACAGCAATGAAGTTGTATGCGCCATCATGATGCCTAGAAGAAAAGAAAATGTGCCATTTCCTATTATGTATCACATGCCATTTCACTGCAGTTGAGACCGCCTCCGTGGTCTGGTGGTAAAGCGTCCGCCCCAAGTGCGGAAGGTCCGAGGTTCGATCCCCGACCGCGTCATACCAAAAGACGTAAAAAATAGTACTTATTGTTACCCTGTCTGGCGCTCGGCATTAAGGGGCTAAAGCAAGAACTGGTCGGCTCGGAGTCAGTATACTGGGGGTATTCATGTTAAACTGCGGCATGGTATCTCAGTGAGCTAGCACTATAAATCGGCATCAGTCCGGACTAGTACAAGCAGCCAAACAAGCACACACATGTACATGCACGTCGCTTTATAAGTGCAATAATCTTGGACACGACGTTAAACCGCACTCACCTCACCTCACCTCATTGCGGTTGATGAAATATGTTTCTTGCAAATGTTCACAATATAAACTAAATAGAATATATACCCATGTGACCTAGATGATGATGTTTAGGCAACGAGCAATCACTTGATCGGATGACGTGACTCTGATTCTGAGTTGGAGATGTCGCGTTCCTAGAGACGAAGATTGGCGAATGTAATTGTAAGGGCATGGTCACAATATCAAACGTCACTATTCTAAATATCACTAAAGAACAGAACATGAATGTTGCGAGGCACATGGACATTCATGTGGGAACAAGATGATAAATTTTAGTTTCAATTACAAGGTAACGTTTGAGTTGAAAATGTTTGAGGACGATGGACGACGAAAAACGAGACAAAGGCACTTTTAGTCAGGTCATCAAGAACTGCGTTCAGAGAAACTGAATAGAAAATATGTTAACTATTAACAGTTCTTGCTAGTTTCCTACTTGGTACGGCTGATGAAACAATAATATCCACTGGTCACACAACCTAACCATTCGTTTCCTTGAATAATGGAATAACAGGAAACAGGACCTCAATAGACTTTTTATTACATCAGATTATGTGACACTTTTTTGAATGTCGCCACAGCTTGGTAGTTAACCTGAAAGGAAACAAGTTTGGATGATATGTATTTCTGATATCACATCAATATACATTTACAGCACAGCTTTGTGTGTGGCCTCATTTACATGATTCAAATGTTTGTACAAAGAACAATATAAGTGACGGGTTGTTTACAATTCCTACCTTTGGCGAGCTTTCCACGGACCTCAACTTCGCAGACTGTGAAAATTTCCTCTCTTGGTGGAATGTAACGCAACAACACAAATCGACCCGTTGTCGAAGGTTTGCAGGTCAGAACTTCAGGTCTTGATAGTTTCCCTTTCTTTTGTGCACATGTCATCGGCTGAGAACTTTTGTTCTCCATGGGGTTTTCTTTATAAACTAGTATTTCCAGGTCACGGAATCTGTAAACTGATAAAAAAATACAATACAATATCATATCATTATCAATATCAGGAACTAATACATAAAGGCCAAAACAAGATCGTGTACCCTCGTGGTTAACTCGTTCGCTCGTCACGCCGAAGACCTGGGTTCGATTCCCGACATGGGTACAATGTGTGAAGCCCATTTCCCGCAGTGGTATTGCTGGAATATTGCTAAAGGCGACGTAAAACCATACTCACTCACTCACTCAAAACAAGATCAAATTTCACTATTGCACGAAAAGAAACGAAAAGTGTGTTGCATCCGACTACTAATTGATAATTAATAGGCTTTCGAATAATAGCAGTTCTGGCGGACATATTGAAAATCAGATTTAAACCACTTGATTTATTCTGCATGTATCGTTTCCTATAGCATGTTACATAAATATAAATAGGTGTTTATTTCAAGCACATACTGCAACCGTCCGTCCGTCTGAAAAGGGTGACGTTATGTACATCATAGATATCCTGCAAGTCAACCATCCACCAAGGTCTCAACACAGATTGAGCAGAAGTAAAACATTGACCTCCTCTGCGATTGCCGCCCTTGTCACCATCAACCACGTGGTTAGGATCTGAATACTTGTCATAGTTTGTACATCCGTATGCTGGTTTTCTTAAGGCCAGATTGCCTAAGTCTTTGTGACAAAATACATAATATATAATTAAAACAGTGCTTACATGAGGCATGACATCTTACAAAAACAAAGTTTACATGCAAGTTGTTTCAGTTTGACCGAGTGGGTTTTGCTTGACGTGCCTGTAAACATTATTACAGTGTTACACAGGGTATCAGTTTGACTTGGGTTGAATGTAATGCATGGTGTATGTCTTAGACAATTACCGCAGGGGTGAAACCCATGAGCAGCCATACGTTGCCGATAAACAGGGTACATAATCAGGCCGAGTATGGAATCCAACCTCATGATCTACAGTCTGCGGTACGCCTATAATCGCAGACCCGTGAAGATCCGGCGTAGAAGAGGTCTTCAGCAACCGGTGCTTGCCGTAAAGGCGACTTTGCTTGTCATAAGAGGCGACTAAAGAGATTGGGTGGTCGGGCTCGCTGACTTGCTTGAAGCATTTCATCGATCCCAATTACGTGAATCGTGCTCATGATATTAATCACTGGACTGTCTGGTTCAGACTCGATTATTTACAGACCGCCGCCATTTAGCTGGAATATTGCTGAGTCCAGCGTAAAACAACAAACCAACCAACCTAAAATCACAAGGTAACTGCCTCTCTCTCTCCCCCCCCCCCCCCCCCCCCCCCCCCCCGCACTTACACACAAACGCAAACACACACTCAAAGATACAAGAAATGTTTTCTTTCAGAGCAATCAGCTTCAGCAAACGAATTTTACCTATTTTCAGAGCCCTCATGGCTCTGTCGACCTTAGAGGAGATGTCTTGAAGCTTTGTCTCTGTTTCTTTTTGTCGCAACCCAAAGGACGTCAGCTCTGACTTTATCTCTGAGACTGAAGGTCAATATATGCTATGAGTTTATGCACCACGTTCAAATGTGAAACATAATGTTGATTCTGTCCTGCTATGTTCAGTAAAGTTATTACGTATTTTAGATTTAAGCCTGTCAAAACAATACGCCATAACTTTGAGCCGTGGATAACTGAGCATTTTTATTGACATAAACATTAGTAGATATAAACTTTAATGCATATACAGTTGACATATTCCAGAATGAAAGATGGGACATGTTTCTACACATAAAGAACAGAAAAGAATGTAAACAGCATTTAGAAAAAAAACACATGCATATTGTTATTTTTAAAAATAATGTCATTGATTCTTTTTGCAGAACTTTAAGCCAAATAGAATTGACGGATAATCAAGACTTGTATTCTCTTGCATTGACATTTTATTCTGTATACCCTAATAAATTCTTCCAAAATGGAAGGTTGTTCTTATCAACTACGATACATGAGAAGATATTGAAAATCTCATCTTTCTTTCTACATGAAATATATCAACACGAGTTGATAAAAAATTGTAATCGATTGGTGTTGATAAATTTCATATCAAAAGAAACATGTCAGATCATCCACAAATCATTCTTCAAACTATTTAGTTTGTAAAATAAAACAACCACAACTTCAGTGGCAGAGAGATCAAAATGGTGGCTTACGTCACAATAGTCTCAAAACAGTGTGATGCATTTTCATTGTAGCAATAACAACGTTTTGGGGACATTGAGTTCGAAAGTGGACTGATTACACTCCTAAACACATTTCATCCACATTTCACAGTTACAAAAATAGGCGAAGTAAGAAACATTGGCATAATATGGTCGACAAAAAAGGACGAAAATAGGTATTTTGTGATCTGTAGTTCTGTTGTAAGGTTGCATGATCAACATCCTTACCTGCTTTTCCTCCACTATTTCTTTCCATGTGATGTATTTTCTCCATGAGCTTGTTGACTGTTTTTTGTACCGCCTCCACTTTACCTCACATGGCAACGATATGAATACAACTGTTAATATGATCTGCATTGAACAGCCCAAAAGTATAAAAGTGACACAAACACTGAATCGACATTAATTTCATCTTTGTGGTTCAAAACATTAAACAGATTCAGGATAAACATTTATTCATTTTTCTGTGTATCTCAGTGAATGAAACAGTAGGGGACTCCATAGGGAGTCGCGACACGTGAACCTTGATTCGCAAATCAGAGTGGCGGCTTCTAAATTCTCAAATACGAACCAGCAAAACAGATTATGTCGTAAACACGTCAAAGCGTTCAGAATATATTACAACGGAATAACACCCGAGCGTTTCTCTGCAACAAAAATGTTATTTACTCTGTTTGTTTTGTTGGGGTTTCTTCTTCTTTAGATCTCAATTCCAAAAACGAACCCCACGCATCCTTCAAAATTTAAAATTAGAGTAACAGCTTTACTTGCAAAGACCGGTGAGAAATATTTTCAAATAGTCAATGCTACCAGAGAATTGTAAATGACAAGGAAACATTAAGTCCTGAGAAATGATTCCTGTAAAAGCAAAACCAACTGTAAAAAAATATAATAGGGGACAGGGTGGCTAATTCGTCTAAGATGCCAGATTAACTTGATTTGTTTGTTTGTTCTTTAACGCTGCACTCAGCAAATTACAACTCTATGACGCGGGTCTGTAAATAATCAAGGAAATAATCAGACAATCGAGTGATTGATATCATGAGCATTGATTCACTCAATCGGGATACGATGACATGTATCAACCAAGTCAGCAAGCCTTACCATCCGATCCCCTTAGTCGCCTCTTACGACAAGCATAGTCGCCTTTTATGGCAAGCATGGGTTGCTGATGACCTTTTCTATCCCGGATCTTCACGGGTCGATTTACGCATGAAGAGATATGGCATTTAAGGAACCTATTGTCATAAATTCCAGGATTAACCCTGATCATCATCCTCTTGATTGTCAGTACTATACCATTGCTCGTGGATTTTACAAAAACGAAATACTTAAGTATTCCTACTATAAAAATGGCAATGCTTTCATATTGCTGACATATTTTACTGTGCAAAGTGGTGTCAACCCCAATTAATTCCTCTGCTCCGACTTCGAATTCGAATACACGTGGCTCGGATACGTTATGCATACAGACAAAAACGCAACGGCGAGTATGGGTTGCTAAAGACCAATTATACCCCGGAATCTTGACGGGTCCTTGATCACTGAATCGCAATCAGATAGTTTTTATGTATGTTCGTTATCACGGTTTTCCACTTCGATGTAAACGGGTTCCAACGTTATTTACGTGTATTGAAAACAAATCGAATTTATATTTTGGACACTTATTTGGTCCAGTTAAAGAAACTTCAGGTGAACCCTGAGCGAACGTCAACCGCCACATCTAAGTGAATGATGTGTTGGTTCAGGAGTCAATAGGCAGCCAGGCTTATGAAACGATTTAGCTGCAATCCTTTACCACCGTGATTCGGAAATGTCGGTACAGATTCAAGGGTTACACTGAACCACATAATATGCTGTTCTGGTCTTGTCTTCGTTGCGAGAATTACGTGTGTACCTTCCTCTCCCTTGGTACCAGATTTAATACTTTGCATCTGCTCCAGGATCTTGTCAAACTTCTCATCAGTTTCTTCTTGTCGGGATTTCACAGAAGCAAGGTCTGACTTGACCTCGGAAACTGGAAACACAGATTTCGTGCAGCTTATCATGTTATCCATAACCAGACATATTATTCAATGCTATATTGTACAGATGGGTTATCCGATAGTTGAAATGTCTGTTGAGCCTGACCACCCGATCCTGTTAGTCGCCTCTTAGACAAGCATAGTCGGCCTACTAAGGACACTTAATATGATAAGGTGTTATTGCAACAAATGGGGCTCAGACGTTAACCTAGATAAGTCATGCATTGTTTTCAAATATGGTGGATAGCTAGATGCGTCAAACATTGTTTTCAAATATGTTGGATACCTAGAGAGGTTATGCACTGTTTTCAAATATGGCGATTACCTTAGAAAAGGTGGTGGGTGGTTTGTTGTTTAACGCTGTACTCAGCAATATTCCAGCTATATGACGGCGAGTTACGACGTAAATTGTATTTAATAGGTAAATTGTAATACTTGCAGCAAATTTTAATAATTTTGACGTAAATTGTAAAATTACAATTTACGTTGTCATTAAAATTTACGTAAAAATTATTACAATTTGCTGCAAGTTTAACAATTTACTGTTTTATTACAATTTACGTCATAACACGCCGGTCTGTAAATAATCGAGTCTGGACTAGACAATCCAAGTCAGCGAGCCTGACCACCCGATCCCGTTAGTCACCTTTTACGACAAGCATAGTCACCTTTTACGGCAAGCATGGTTTGCTAAAGACCTATTCTACCCCGGAATCTTCACGGGTCCCTTAGAAAAGGTACAGACAAATGGACTTATAATGGTTAATATATGAAAGTAGTATTTCACTACAAAATATTGAAGTATTGCCTTGACATCAAGATGATGTCCACAAGCGTGTGAGCAGGGGAGGCCCCCACGACTATATTTTAAAGATTATTCATAGATTTCTCTCAAAGTAGGATACACACAATGCCATTTAGAAAGTGCTCAAATGAAACACATGTTATATTTGGGATAACACTTTCTGAGTAAAGTACAGATTCTCGAACTTTGTTTAAGTTGAGTCCCGTCCGGGATTCGAACCCACACTGCCAGGGTAAGGCACCTATGCTAGGACACTAAGGAGCACATAAAGTATGTGATCTAAACTACCAGTTGCGTCAGTGGCTGAGTGGGTTAGATCGCTGACTTTGAGTTAAGCCAATTTTTGGATTCATGTGATGCCATGGGAATCACAGGTTAAAGTGGATCTCGTCTTTAAGAAACTAACCCTTGAACGACACTTATAAACAGGAATTAGTTTCACATTTATTGCTC